ACAAACAATTCAGTTCTCATTTGATTAAGCCCCTATATATATATATATATATATATATATATATATATATATATATATATAGAAGAGTGATCAAATGAAAATCACTCTAATTTGTAAAAACTACTTTCATTTATCGTTAATCTTATGAATTTTTTTCATGAAATTGTTAATCTTGTGAAATTGTTTCATATAATACTTTTTTTGATGAAGTTGTTTCATATACTACTTAATGAAATTTTAATGAAACTGTTTCATTTATTTCTCTAAAATTAAAATAATGAAGATGATAATATCTATGATTAACACAATTCACAATAAAAATGGTTAATCAACCTCTCATAATTACAAAAAAATGAACAAAAATGAAAAATTATGATTGGTTGAATGAGGTTTTTACGGTTTTTACAAATTGAATGGTTTTTATTTGAACTCACCCCTATATATATATATATATATATTGGTTATTATACAACCATTGATATTTGTGCAACCAATACAACTCAATCTCAACCGTCCATTTCATTTGATTAATATGTGATTTCATAGAAGTTTTGATTGTTTCCTAATATAAAGTATTGATCATAATTAATGAACCATATTCATCTTCCATAAATATTCAAATCATAATAAATGAACTCTCATCATTTCCATAAATATCTCAATTTATTGGGTTGCATTGGTTGTACAAATACAATGGGTTGTATTTGAAACGAACTCTGTGTGTGTGTGTGTATCAGTGTATGTATGTATGTATATAGAGGCTCATTCAATGGAGAACTAATTAGTTTATGGTAATCGTGGGATCCAATGTGAACAACTCGTTTGAGATATTTAAGGATATTCCTTAAATAAACTAAAAGGGTAATATAATAAATTTTATTTTTGATAAATAATCAAAATATTTAATTAAATTTTTTAGAAGGAAATATTTAATTAACATTAGTTACCTAATATATCAATTACCTATATACATCGTATTTTAAAAACGTTTGTGAATCAAAGTGTATTATAGTGATAACATTCACCATGTTTCACGTGTATCACAATGTATTTTCTTTGTTTTATAAAATGTATCATAGTGTGCTTTTTCGTTATTTTCATTGTTTTGCAAATGGTATCACATCGTGCATCTTGTATGTATATCTTGGTATCACAGTGTGTATTTTGTGTTCACATAAGGTTCATCGGAATAAGATTTGCCGAATAAGATTCATCGGAGAGAGAAAAGAGGAGAGATGAGAGAGAATATTTATAAGATCCCTAAAATGCCCTTAATTAATACTTTAAGTTAAAATTAACAAAACTATTAATTTCCTAATTTAACATTTGATTTGTGGTTGAGATTGGATCTCATAGTTACCACAAACAAAACAGTACTCATTTGATTAGGCTCCCATATATGTGTGTGTGTGTGTGTGTGTGTCATTCGTCGTAAACATACAGAAAGTCGAATATCATGATCTAAAAAACTATATTGTCGTCCATTTCATTTTTGACATACTTTTCATTTTTTATTAATCATCGTCAATAATTTCAGTAAGAAATATCATTTGATTATCAAAAATAAAAATATCATACATGTGCAAGAGATACAAGCTAATTACATTACATTCTACTGAATTATACAAAAACAATCTTTGATAACGTAATATAAATTTGTTAAGATTCGTGTAAAGGTGTCAAGGTTACGAGTAGAGTTCATGGTTGATCGATTTCACAAGAATTTCACGACATTGCTATTATCGACACCTTGTTGCCTTTCGGCTAGTCAGCATTATCTGTAGTCGACGGATCTCGGTTCTTAGGTCTTGAAGGTCTCGTGTTTCCATCATTCGATCCCACTTTTTTCTTTCGAGTCTTTTTCGCCCCAGGTTCTTGTGACGGTGACTCGCCCCCTGTGCCTGAGTTCTTGGTCCGCCTAGGGCGGCTGGTCTCATTCATGGGTGAATCACCGGATGAGTTTCTGTTCCTCCTGGTTCTTGGTTCAATGTCAGGTGAAGAACCTACCGAACCACCAGCACCATGTTTCTTGGGTTGCTTAGACTTGCCTCGACGAGTTTGAGAACTCATCGAGTCTGAACAAGTCACAAATGAATCTTGAATTCGAAATCAAAAAGTGCACCATAAGTATAACGATAATAATACCAATAACAAGAAACAAAATTTGAGGTTTGACAAAAAAAAAAGGATTTGAAAATTGTACCCTTTGATCCACCTAGATCTGATGATCCTGATTCTGAACCTTGAAAGTCATTCATCTGCCACACAGTTAACCCACATCAAGAACCAGATTATTTAGAAAAACTGACAGTGATATAAACCCAATTTTTCTCAGCAACACGTTGGCAAAACATTATACATTAAACAGATGAGGGACGTTCGTACGTACCCAACTGGGAGCATTTGTGGAAGGACCATCACAACCAATATGGGCAATATGTTTAACATCCGTAGGCATACCAATCTGTATTTCTTGTTCTTTTTCATTATCGGCTTCTACAGTTTCAACGAATCCATCAGTCAAATATAAAAAACAAAATATGGGAAAACCCCGTCTAAAAGACCAGAAAACGTATACCAAAGATTTCGGAGATGTAACGCAAGCCTTTCAATAAACCTTTCACGGCCGTGCCCATACTATATACAAATGGTTAGGAAACGAGAAATCACACAAAAAACGTTACGTCAAGTACCAGATCCTATGCAGCCTGTTGTCTTCGACTATGTTTGATCATTGTTTATCAGATAAACTATAAACAAGAAACGTACAGATTTGAGAACAAAATTACAAAATGATAATCGTTCTCAACGAATCAACAAGAAGAATACGAGTTTTTGAAAAATGGGTTTTAATAACACAGAGAATAAAATTTAGTGAATCAAAAGTTGGGAAATGTTTTGTTAGGGTTGTGGTTGAATATGCACCATAAATATCCCATATTTTTAGGGTACCACCAAAAATTTAGGGCATAAGCCCACATTTTTGGTTAGAGAATTCAGAATGGTTGTAATCGTATTTTTTTCTGTCAATTAACCATCGTCAACTTAAAAGAATTAAAGCATAGATAAACATTAACTTTACATTTATATATATATATAGATAGATAGAGAGAGAGAGGAGATTTACTTTGCAAACCATGTTATTTGTACAAATCGTACAAACCTCATTCAACCAATCATAATTTTTCATTTTCTTTATTTTTTTGTAATTATGAGGGTGTTAATCATGCATGGACATTGCCATCTTTATTATTTTAATTTTAAAAAAATACATGAAACAGTTTCATTAAAATCTTCATTAAGTATTATATGAAACAATTTCATAATCATATATGAAACAACTTTATCAAGAAAAGTATTATATGAAACAATTTTACAAGATTAAACAATTTCATGATTTTTCCCCCCATAATATTAAACAATAAAATCGACGGATGAGGGTGGTTTGCACAGTCTGTACAAATTTGGTTGTTTGCATTTGATCGCCTCTCTCTCTCTCTCTCTCTCTCTCT